TTTGGCAGTACGTCCAACCGGCCTCACAACGCAGACCACGTAGAATCACGCCAGTCCAGGACCTCCACATCTGGCTTCTTCACCTGCTGGATCATCTGAGGAGGGGGTACTGAGGAGTATTTCTGTCTGTAATGAAGCCCTTTTGTGGGGAAAAACTCATTCTGATTGGCTGGGCCTGGCTCCCAAGTGGGTGGGCCTATGCCCTCCCAGTACCACCCATGTCTGTGCCCCTGTCCAGTCATGTGAAATCCATAGATTAGGGCCTAATTTATTTATTTCAATTGACTGATTTCCTTCTTTGAACTGTAAATTTGTAAAATCTTTGAAAATGTTGCATGTTGCGTTTATATTTTTGTTCAGTATAGTTATGGTCTGCTAAGCTGTTATGCACCGGTTACAGTAGCATAGGCCTACTGTACTATCAGTTTGATTCCGGCATTTGAAGTCATCCTTCTGGCTTGAAAGCCTGTATTGTGTGGCTTTAATATTTCATTTCTTAAAGCTGTCTAGATGTTTATGCATTTGAGTCTATCCAAAGATTATTTGATTGAGCTGAGACACTTTTCTTTGATATGTAAATTATCAGACTATTCATTTTAACTTCTTGAAAACATTTAAATAAATGGAATTAACTTGTGGGCCTAATATAAGCTATAGGCTATCTAAATTAATTGAACAATGTACAATCCGATTGTGGAACACCACTCATTCAGTGCATCAATCAAAAGTGAAAGTGCAAACTTGCAATGTATTCGAGGCTTAAAATTCCTATTTTTTTGTGAACAATTGTTTTTGTTGGGTCACGAGCAATACAATCATAAAAAATAAAAATAAATGTTCCCCCTTTTTTGAACAAACACACCCTCCCACCCCACCCATCACAAACGTACCCCTCGCACCCCACCCATCCCAAACACACCCTCCCACCCCACCCATCCCAAACATACCCCTCCCACCCCAAACATACCCCTCCCACCGCACCCCAAACACACCCTCCCACCCCACCCATCCCAAACATACCCCTGGCGGCCCCACCCTACTATCTCCAACCTCAGACAACCCATAATATAAAAACAAAACATGCAAAAAAAAAATAGTTTCTATAAAATTAAAATAAACACTACACTAGAATACAAATGCAGATACACAGAAAAGTCATTTGCCAATACAACACCATCAAGAAAGCATTTATCACACACCTACATAATCTCCAGCAATTCAGAGATTTCTGAGGCAGCTACTTTCCACGTTTCCAAAGTGCTAAGTCTGGCTTTATTCATACGGGCAGTGGATAACTTTTACATAAGTATGCCAGCCATTTCCTTGTATGAAGGTCATGTGGTGGCAACCAGCGATGAACAACAAGTTTTCGGGCAGCAGTCAACCCAAACAGCCAATCCTTTTGCCGTTTCTCATTCAGCTGCATACCTGTATCATCGTTAAGCAACAGTGGAATTGGTTCAACGGGTACAGTTTTATCAATCATGTCAGAGAGAATAGACGACACATTCCTCCAGAACTCATAAACCTCCGGACAATCCCATATCATATGTTTGTATGTGTCAAGTGTATTGAGGTTACATAGGTCACAGTATGGGCTTGGAGCCTGTTTTGCATGAAAGTGATCTCCAATAAGATCTATGACAAAGTTTAAAATGAATTAACTGATGGTTTGGGTTCTCTGATGAGGGAAATATGATCTCCCAATCAATAGCCTCATCATCGACAGCCAAATCCTTTACCCATGCTTTAACCATTGACAGATCTTTCTGCTTTAAGAATTGAAGATGAGAGTAAATAGCAGACATAAAACCTCTGGACGGGAATGTAAAAATCCACTCTATCATTGGGTGCCTTCCCAAACTTGGACCCCATAGGCACGAAGCACTGACCGCAGTCTAAGATATAGAAAGAACGACGACCCTGGTAAATCAAAACAAAGACTGAGTTCCTGAAAACTAAGGACACTTTTATTGAAGGGATAGAACAGTGTTGGGAAGGGTGAGTCAAAGAGCAGTGGGCCAAATTTGAACCCATGCCGACTCTGGCATGTGGGTGCCGGGATTAGCAGCTGTAACTGCTGGACCACACAGGCACTGAGGCCACCAATAATTTATTCTGCCTATTGCTTGACTTGAACATATAATAAAACAATTGATTAAAACAAATGATTTTCCCTAAGGAAAAATACACCTAACCCCTACAAATGTGTCCATTTATTATAATCCACATAAGACTGCACATAGCCTACATAGCATACTTGAACTGGCGCCCAGTGGACTTGCAGTCTAATGTACAATGTAGGTATGGTGTACTGCATTGTATACAAACACTGCTTCCAGCTGCCCCCTGGTGGCAATTCTAAATATTTCTTCAGTCATTCAAATCCTCCTGCTGCAGGATTATTTTCCTCCAAGGACGAAACGGTTCGAATTAAGATCCAACATCTGTGAATGTCCAATCGCATGCCTGGGAAATTGACAGAAATGTGATGCCCAATTCTATATCAACTCCTAGGCAATGGTGCACTGTAAATCTGGAAATTAGAAGACGCGGTGGAGCTTTCATTTCACATACACCAACAACTCTTTCAGATCTTCACAAGTGTCAGGGATAGGGAGCAGGGTTTGATTTAGGATTTCACTTAAGATGTGCAGATGCCACATCATGGACACATCCATCCTACTAGTGTTCACTGCTGTCTTGAGGTGTTGAGCAATGTGTGCAAAACTACGTAAGTAATGAAACACTGACCCTGACTGAACCCCTGAATGTCATCCTTATCGTGCATCTCCACATAAATAATGCTCATGAAATATGCGCTCAGCAGTCAGTTTAATTGGAGATTGGGAAATCCTGAGGTATTTCTCAGGGTTAAGATGGCAAGAGGATCATGACTGTGTGAGCAATAGCAGAAATTCATCTTGTACTCTGAAGTACGTAATCTGCATGGGGGAATATGGATGTTTCTATTTGCAGACAGAAAGAGCACAGTGAAAAAGTAGCGTTGGAGCACACATTGAACTATGTTGTGAACTAGGGAAATATGTTGTGAATTAGAAAAGTGCATCCAAGGCTCATCCCTCTGATGAACTCTTAGGAACGCACTAATTCTATGCCTCTGAGACCATGCCACATGAAGCCACTTAACATGTTTATGATTTAGCAGTGGATTATATACTATTTTCTGATTCCATATTTATTAGTACACACTTTCCTAGAGCATTCAATAATATTTATAATAATATTTCAGTGCCATCTGCATTAAAGTTTGATTAAATAACTTTATGTATTAAAAATCTGGAAAAAATACACATGGTTCCATTTTTATGTAAAGTTCATATTGACGTTTTGGTACAGTGATTCTTACATGGCATTGTCATTGTCACCTACTCTATTCAAAGTGCATTGAAGCATTAAAGTAATGCTGCATTACTTTCCCTTTTCCTCCATATCTCATACTGGCAAAGAAAAAAAAAACATGCTTAAATTGGGGGCATGAGTTATCAAGCTATACAAAAATGGAAGAGGTAGTATACTCGTATTTGCTATACACAGTAACATATGTACATTAGCACATAATATTTAAGTGATACCCCGCTAGGCATAGCTTCAATATATTGTTCTCATCTCCTGCTACTGTAAAATAGGCTTTTTGAAGGCTGCTAATCATACTGTCATTATTTAAAGTGAAACTATACTGTTTTTGGGACACTCCATTAAGACATTAACAATACACTACTGTAAGCAACATAAAACAATTCATGGATATATGGCAGTTTGCAACGACAGTCATTGTAACAGAGCTCTTTGAGTAATTTCTTAACAAAATGAAGGCTGTCAAAATGACCATGGCCTGGAGCTGATTTGGCTTTGTCCATGTTTGTCAGCTCTTGTTAGGGCACATGACTAAAGGTAGACTTCGTGAGATGACGTTGCATGCACGAAGTAAACACAATATTGGGTACATTTCCACAACAACTAAGAGTGTTGATGCACGAGGCTAAACTTATTTTCAGTTTTGGTCCCGTAGCTGTTTTGGTCACGTTGTGGCAGCGTGAAGCGCACCCATGCACATGTGCAGATACCAGAGGAGACTGTGGGAGGACCTATAGTAGGACGGGCTCATTGCAATGGCTGGAATTGAATAAATGAAATTTGATCAAACATATGGAAACCACATGTTTGACTCCATTCCATTAATTCCACTCCAGCCATTACAATGAGCCTGTCCTCCTATAGCTCCTCCCACCAGCCTCCCCAATGGCAGATTCGCGCTCATCTCAATATCTGCGGTATTGCTTGTTGCAACGTCATCTTGCTGAGTCTATCTTTAATAGTGCACACTGCACATCACTTTCTTGCAGGGATTGTGTCATCCCTTTGTTGTAATGTTATTCATGATTACACTGTATACACTGTCTATTGCACTCATACTGATTAAATATATTTGCCAATAAATGGCAGTTAATATAGCCGTAAATTGTGTTTGACTTGCTTCGTATCGAGCTCATGGCTTCATAAGGATTCAGCTTCATAAGGATTCACATTGGAATACTACAGAATCAAAAGCGAAGCACTGAATTGCATAGAATGTGATCTCCCATGGATAGTAGGAACCTGTTGATGCCTAATTTCACAAACGCTCTACTTAGGTCAGTTTTGGTTAGTTTGGTAGCTGTCAAACAAAAAAATCCTCATACTATCGGCTGTTAAAGGTAATGTTCCTGCGTTTGCGGAGACCGCATTCACGATAAACGCTATATATGTCAGTTCAATTGGAAAATTACCTTTAAATAGCGCATAGCTGACAAAGTGCCATCGGATTGAATCCTGGTCTTAAGCTGCTTGCCACCTTCTGTTCTTTGGAAGACCAGATTTGAGGTGAATCAGTATTGCTTGTTTAAAAAAGAAACAAATACATTTTTGACAATTTGTTACAATGCAAGTGTTATGGGTCGTGTTTGGGTTATGGGTCATGTTCTCTACAAGGTGCCATTTTAGACCAGGCCTCTGAAGAGGAATGAGAGGGATGCTCCCAGAGCCAAACCTAGGGACAAGAAGAAGGCCATAATGGCTCCAGCTGTCTCCGCCTCATGAGGAGCAACTTTTCTGTGGAGAGAGAGAGAGAATGACAGCCGATCAGGTGTGGTAAGATTTTAGGTGCAATCTCATTTCTGTCAACCTGGGAGACATTTTCTTCTCGTAATGACCCTTGCAACGTGAGTAAACTAACCATAACGTTTTAAATAGACAGGAGCTCCAAAAACTGCACCTCACAATTTCTTTGTGTGTACCATGTGTGTCGTGCCTCGTCTTTCTAACAGACATAATTACCACCCTATTTCTAAACTTTCTAGCCTAGCAAAAATGTTAGTTGAGCATTAATCAAGGATTCTAAGCTCCTTCTTAACTTCAAAATCTATTCTAAATGTGCATCAGTCGGGCTTCAGACCAGGGCATAGCAACATCTCGGCAGTATCATTGGTTTTACATAATGTAGTAAATTGTTTGGATAGGAAGAAACACTGTGCTGCTCTATTTATTGACTTGTCTAAAGCGTTCAACACTGTCGACCGCTCTTTACTAATTCAAAGGTTGTCTGAGATTGGCCTGGATCAGGTGTCATGTAATTGGTTTATGGTGCCTACATTGATCGTGTCCCTGCTTATAAATATCTGGGCATCTGGATTGACAAAATGTTATCTTTTAAAAAGCATATGGATGAGTTCATTAAAAAAATGGGCTTCTTCTTTAGAAATAGATCATGCCTCTCCCTGAACAGCAGAAAGCAGATAATTCAGTAAACTTTCCTGCCATTGCTAGACTACAATGACACCATTTATATGACTGCAGCTGCACTGAAACCATTAGATGCAGTTTACCACAGAACACTTCACTTTATTACAGGCGACAGGCTCAGTACACATCATTGCATCCTATATCAGAAAGTAGGCTGGCTGTCTCGTAGATCGATACACTGCTCTATTTTTGTTTATAAAGCCCTCTTGCACAAACTTCCACCGTACCTTACTTCATTGTTAAATTAAACGAGTCACCAGACCTGATCAGTGGAATGGCTAACTCTAGAGGTCCCGTTAATCTCTACGGGAAATCGGCATTCCGTTTTTTTGCACCCTGTGTATGGAATGATCTGCAGACTTCTGCGCTCCGTTACCTCTAGGGCAGTTCAAGTTAATAATATGTTTTATTGTCACATACACCAGATAGGTGCAGTGAAATGTGTTGTTTTACAGGGTCAGCCATAGTAGTACAGCGCCCCTGGAGCAAATTAAGGTTAAGTGCCTTGCTCAAGGGCACATCGACATATTTTTTACCTTGTCAGCTCGGGTATTCAAACCAGCGACCTTTCAGTTACTGGCCCAATGCTCTAACCGCTAGGCTACCTGCCCCTTGTTGAGGAATGTGATTGCTTTTCTTAAATTGCTTGTAAATATTATATGTTTTATTACGTTGTATTTGTATATTTTGTATAATTTGTGTACTTGCAAAAGAGGCCTAGGTCTCAATGGGATTTCCCTGTTAAAGAAAAGTTAGTGTGAATCACGCTGCATATTATAATCGTACTAATCCCGTCTATTACATTTTTTTGTTAGCAAACGGTTAGTTTGCTCACAGCGTGTCATTGCGAGAGGAAAATGTTGCCCTGTACCTTGAAAGTTTATCAATTTGGGTTTGTGCCCAGGCGTAGGCAAGAGGTCTTACTTGGGCCCAAAGCACATGCAGAGGCTGGCCAGGTATCCATTGGAAAAGGCAAAGAGGATCATGAAGACGATGAACCAGGCGTCGTGTTCAAAGAAGACAGGCAGGTTGTAGCGGGGCTGAACATTGCACAGCATGAAGAGCGGCACGAAGATCACACGGGCCACCAGAAGAATGGGCACCAGTTTGCTGTCCTTCCCAGGCTGAAAGTGAATGGCAGAGGGATGTCAACACTACTGTACCACACACACCACATGCACATTCAATGAAATGCACTCAAATACATGCCACAAGGATGTGTAAATGACAAGTGCTTTATTTGATAGAGGATGAGGAAGTTACAACTTCAATTCCCTTTTGAGAAAAACATTTTATGTTCAATAAAACATTACTGCAGTGTTTGTTTTAAGCTGATCACCACAAGACAAGTTAGTCGATAAGGTATTTATTTATTTATCTAAAATTCAGGGTAGTTCAGTGTTAACCTGTATTTTCTACTCTTCTAAAAAACAGATGGTAAATTTACCTATATTGTTCTGATTCTTCAACATCACAGATTTTATTTGCAAGATCAAGTATGCAGTATATTTGAAATGCATCTTCAAGGAATTTCTTAGAGTTTTTTTTGGCAGGCAGCATTTGATCAATAGTACATTACTCTAGTACCTGGCGCTAACATGGGTCCTGTCCTGATCTTGTCACAATTCTGATTGTCCTCACATTTTCAGAAATGTGTCTAAACCTGGTATTAAAATGTGTCTCTTATCCTCAGATCCTCAAAAAGTTCTACATCTGCACCATTGACTGGCCGCATCACCGCTTGGTACGGCAACTGCAAGGCACCCAACTGCAAGGCACTACAGAGGGTGGTAAGTACGTCCCAGTACATCACTATGGCCGAGCTCACTGCCATCCAGGACCTCTATACCAGGCGTTGTCAGAGGAAGGCCCAAAGAATGGTCAAAGACTCCAGCCACCCAAGCCATAGACTGTTCTCTCTGCTACTGCAGTGGCACCAGTGCACCAAGTCTGGAACCAACAAGACCCTGAACAGCTTCTACCCCCAAGCCATAAGACTGCTACATAACTAATCAAATGGCTACCCGGACTACCTGCATTGACCCTTTTTGCACTGACTCTATGCACACACACTGAACTCTACACTGACACCCCAACACACACATACTACATATGCCCACAATTTTAAATGCATTTAGGCTGAGCTTTCGGTCGTTAGACTTTCACCAAAGCATACAAAAACACACGATGGCCACATATAGGCAACGTGCGTCAATGCAATCAGACATGATGAGCAACATGTGTACACAAATGCCAGGAGGCACATCAGTAATCAATTATCTCAGAAAAAGTGACTTGAGCTTGAGTTTATATTGCCTATATGTGGCCTCTGTCATTGTGTGTTTTTGTATGCTCTGATGAGGGTTTGACGACTGAAAGCTCAGCCTAAATAAATAGAAAATTGTGCATTAATCCTGAGTGTGCAGAGATTCCTTTTCATTTTCAATAGAAAAACAGTTAAAACTAAATGAAATGCAGCTAGTTTGCGGTCTTTCCAGCTTCAGTTTGAAGTGATTGTGTTAGCTGTGTAGTTGGCAAGTTAACAAAGGGGAAGAGCCTCCATAGCAAACATTTTTGTATGGCACAGCAACTTGCCAATCGAACTAATGACAAGTGTGTAGATTGATGAGGGATTTAATTTAATCCATTTTACAATAAGGCTGTAACGTAACAAAATGTGGAAAAAAGTGAAGGGATCTGAATACTTTCCAAATGCACTGTAGCAATGGACAACTGCAAAAGTGTTGCTACAGCTCTCAAAAACATTGCTGCCCTGAATTTAGCTGGTGCTATCGACAAAGCTCAGTGGGCAAAAGTTTTAAGTATAGAGACAACTTTCTGGAAGACAATGCCATGCTGATTTAAATAGATGGGTGTGGCTAAGGCTTAAGAGGGTGTGAACGATGCTGAATCGGTGCAAACAAAGAAGAGCTCTATACCAAGTGTGAAAATCTCTGCAAAATCTTTCAAGGGCATTTTCTCCTATTTGTCTCCTAAGTGGGTTTACAGGTTTATCAACTTTCAAAGCAGCATAACTTTCCCTTGTTTACTCCATCTACAGTGTATATGATAAACCATATTGAAGCTCTGATTCTGTACTTTTATTTAAAAATAATAATAAAGCAAATCGCAATATTTGACTTAATCTCACATAAAGGTGTTGGGTCACAGATAGACTATCCTCCAAACCAAGGCTTCTAGGGCCTTCTATCACTTAACTGTGTGTGGAAAGCAAAATGCAATCCAGACCTATGAGCTGGAATCCTTACTTCACAAAATGCAAAGTTTGAATACGAATCAGTTAGTTTCAGACCTTTCCATTAAAAGTGACCAATTGCAAGTGTTTTGTTGCTGACTTACCCACATACACACAGCAGTAAGGCTTCTCCCAACCCAGTCGCTGAGGTTGAAGAGCAGGAAACAACACACCGGGATGAAGTACAGCTCTGAAAGGAGAGGGCAATGTACAATAAGACACCACATCTGTTCATTTGTGTTTCATTGATTGTGAATTATTGAATATGATCATTTTGTAAAGGCTTGCAAAATGACTAGTGGTATACTCTAATATGGACTCATAAACCATGCTCTTATCATATATATTCATACACACACACACACACACACACACCCCAGGTGCCTCCATCAGCGATGGTAGACTTGACATCCACAGTGACTGCTGGGAAGGTGCCGATGGTGATGGTGAAGGCAAAACACACAGAGAGAGCCAGGACCCAGATCTACAGTAAATGGGTCAGAGGTCAAGAAGAAAGCACATTAGACCAGCTGAGCTCCCCACAGATGCCTGCTCCCCTGCAGATATACCCTTGACCAGCACTATTGTGCTTGCATCCCTCAGTTAATTCAACCCAAAAGAAAGATAGAGAGCAGTATACACTGTAGAACTGTATCAAAAGTGTGATTGAAGGTGCTCTTTGGTGTAGGGATCTACTTTCGAAGTCATGGAAAAACAAGTATTTAAAAAGTATTTATTTCTACGGCATTTTAATCCATTTTAAGTAATTATATAAAGAGTGTCTTGGTTTTCATGATTTTCCAATTCATAAAGTTTCATATGCTATGAAAGTGACTGGTCATTCCACATGCTAAAGACAGCTAAATAAACTGCAATTTAGTTATAATTGGGTCGTCCACGAAATGAGTGCCCTTTGATATTGTATTACATTTACATTACATTTTAGTCATTTAGCAGACGCTCTTATAGTTAGTGAGTGCATAAATTTTTTTTAAATACTGGAATCGAACCCACAACCCTGGCGTTGCAAATGCCATGCTCTACCAACTGAGCTACATCCCTGCCGGCCATTCCCTCCCCTACCCTGGACGACTTGTGCGCCGCCCCATGGGTCTCCCGGTCGCGGCCGGCTACTCAGGAGAAGTAGAAATTGTGCAGCAATATTGCATTTTAAAAGCATGTTATATTCAATGAAGTTCCCTTTAATATAGACCACATGGAGAATTCAATAAATCTGATTTTTTTATATGAATTAATTGCTAAAGTGCCAAAATTCAGCATTTTGAAATGTCCCTCTGTGCACCCTCTGTTAATTCCAGGAATATTTTAACCCACTTAACACCAAGATCTCTCCAAGTTTTCACCATGATTGTAAAGCCCTAGTTATGTTGTTGCTTCGACCAAGTCATTTCTGAAATGTATTATTTATTTAATGTGATTCATTTTAAAGTTTAAAGAAAAACCTGTCCCTCATTTTAAGGTCAACCCTCATTTTAATATGGTGAAACGAACTAATATTTTTTTTTGCAAAAGAAATATTGAACATGTAATAGTAAAATCTAGAATTGTATTTTTATCTAAAATTGATTGTGAAGCTCAGCAAAGTCACTTATAGATGATTTGAACATCATGTGCGAAAAATGCTAATATCGGTCCCATGACTTGAATGGGATTTGTGCCACACGCTAGCATATGGAAATAGTGCCAAGTAAACTAAACCAAAGCATGGATTGCAGTCATACCTTTTCCATAGACTGCTTACAGAGTAAGGAAACCAATATGTAATTTTGGAATTAGAACATTTTACATGGGAAAAATCTTTCCGCTGTTTCAGAGTAATTGCGTTTCCTCCCCGTTCCCTAAACTTCCTTGCTCCGCGAGAGAAGCAGAAATGAAAGAGAAAACTTTACCAATGTCAACTTGATCTTACTGACGCACATCGTTTTATGACATTATTCTGGTGAGAACTGCTTTATTTAGTCTTTTAGGTCAACAAGTTATGACAGAAGACATACCGCATGTATTTTATTATCGACAAGTTGACTAAGAAATAGTCTACCAAATGTCAGAAATTATAAGCAGAAAAACGTCAATTAGTCTTAAAACCTTTTTTCTTCCTGCACCCCCTGCACCCCCTGTTCCACCATCCCTGGTGACCTGCGCTATAGTTTTGTTTATTAGCATCCATATTAGCTACTGCACAAGCAGCAGCTACTCTTCCTGGGGTGCACAAAAAACGTACAAATACATGACAAAGTACAAAACTGTTATAGACAAGAACATAAGATATTACATAAAATAAAATAAATAAAAAGAGTTACAGTGCATTTGGAAAGTATTCAGAACCCTTGACTTTTTCCACATTTTGTTACGTTACAGCCTTATTCTAAAATGGATTAAATTGTTTTTTCCTCATCAATCTACACACTATACCCCATAATGACAAAGAAAAAACAGGTTTTATTAATATTTGCACACACACAAAAAAAAAAACTTTAATATCACATTTACATAAGTATTCAGAACCTTTACTCAGTTCTTTGTTGAAGCCCCTTTTGCAGCGATTACAGCCTCAAGTCTTCTTGGGTATGACGATACAAGCTTGGCACACCTGTATTTGGGGAGTTTCTCCCATTCTTCTCTGCAGATCCTCTCAAGCTCTGTCAGGTTGGGTGGGGAGCGTCGCTGCACAGCTATTTTCAGGTCTCTCCAGAGATGTTAGATCGGGTTCATGTCTGGGATCTGGCTGGGCCACTCAAAGACATTCAGAGACTTGTCCTGAAAGCCACTCCTGCGTTGTCTTGGCTGTGTGCTTAGGGTCGTTGTCCTGTTGGAAGGTGAACCTTCGCCCCAGTCTGAGGTCCTGAG